ACATTATTATATAGAGTTTTAAACCATGAACCAAACTGACCAGCCTTGAGCCAAATCACTACATTACAAACATTGACTTTGAAAAAAAAAAAACTCTAAAAAGACAGTATTTAAAGTGTCCCTATTATGGGTAAGGAAAGGTTCATATTTTGGTTTTGGGAGTCCCCAACAACAGGTTGACATGCATGCAAGGTCAAAAAACACTTTCATTGTCTTATAATATGCATTTATTTTTACCTTACTTGCTCAACGACTCCCAAACGATTGGTTTAACGATTCATTTTTCCAAACCCCTCCTTTGCGCTGGACTTTCTGAAAAAATCGCCCTAGCCTTGTTAATGAAATAATATATAATACAGCATAAGAGACTTCTTTAAAAAACAAAATCTTTCATAAAATCTTATAGACCCCAAACTTTTGAATGATTGTAGAACATTGTAGAAAACCAGTCTACATGCCACCACAGAATTCCCCACTGCTGCGTGTAAAGAGTCAGACGTCTAAAGGCTTGTTGTGTCTGAATCCATCTAATAGACAGTTACAGTCTGTTTACTCTACCGAGCTGATAAGAGCAGTCCAGCACACATACTGTAAAAATGAGACTGTACTCAAGTGCGTATTGATAAGAGAGAGAGAGAGAATGAGACAGGACAGGAAAGTGTGTGTGAAAGCAAATACTTGGCTGAAATTGAAGCTGTAATTGCTGGCTGAGTGACAGATAGACAGACAGGTACACAAAGAGTCAGCGTTGTTCGAGGTTATTTGCAGACAAACAGGTGTAGTTTCGACTAGACACCTTGCAGACTGTCTAGTCTGGCGGGGCAGGACGACAGTTAAACACGACAGTGGAGAGAAAGTGTAATGCTCAATTCTGCATACACAGACACACCACGGCCACATCCACATACAGACACATGCACATCCACATGCCAACACCCATTTATCCAAAAACACTTACACGCATTGATACTCGCACATGTAAACAGTACAATAACAGAAAAGAAGAAGTGCCAGTGTTTCTGTGTGAAAAAGAGATACGGGTAAGATGTTTACTTGCACGAAAACCACTCTTAAATCACTGTGTGGAAACAATGATGTAGTGTTTGTGTAGGATTATGTGAGTTGCTGCTTTATAATGGCTAGCAACACCACACGCAGATTAAAGACAGCGGTGGAAAAACCTCAAATTTCCGTAGAAACAAAGGGGAGTTGAGAGACCTTCACTCAGGGTCCTTCCTCACTAATGAAACTAGTGTTTTGTAAAACAGCAAAACCACACACTGGCTTATGGGTAATTCTCACATTGCTCAGATATCCCATGATGTAACCCATCAGGTATGTAGCTGTTTGGTGTGACTGAAGCAATGCATCTCTGTGGTGAGCAAATGTAGTAATTTAGCCATTTTCCCATTCATTTTAGTTTACAGGGCACAGGCTATTTTTGTTTTTAACAAGAAACTAGATACCATTGCTCTTGTGCTTTTTTATTGCATATCCAATCCCCATGCTGTTAATTAAGTAGTAAAAAGAACAGTAGGCTAATGATTCAGTCTTAAATATTTCACAAATCGCTCCATGTTGGAAGGAAATTGGCGGGATTCGTTGTATGAGAAGACCTTCCATATCCGCCATTGCTTTTTCTTGTCTCTATGACAAAACGTGTTTATTTTCTCAATTCAAACTCTAAAAGGCGCAATGGGTATAAAAGTTTACTTGATTTTCAGTCAGTCCAATTTTAAGTAGCGACGTTTCTCTCGAGCGTTTGAATGAAACGCATCATCTTGGCTCAGCAGCGCACCCGTATGGTGATGTTTAGTAGCTACTGCCCGTCTTCACATTCGCCTCAGATTTAAAAAATCGACTAAATATTCGTGAATTAATATTTCTTTATAAAGCTCTCAGTGAAATTTAATCTAATTCACAATAAGAGTTTTTTTCAGACCACAAATGTTGGTTGAGAAGTCGTCTTTAGTAGGCTACTTAATCTACTCACCTCTAAAAGTTTTTACTCATTTGAAAACACTCACTTTGACTCATTCAGTAGCCTAGCATGGATATTTCTTTATAAAGCTCTCAGTGAAATTTAATCTAATTCACAATAAGAGTTTTTTCAGACCACAAATGTTGGTTGAGAAGTCGTCTTTAGTACTTAATCTACTCATCTCTAAAAGTTTTTACTCATTTGAAAACACTCACTTTGACTCATTCAGTAGCCTAGCATGTGTTTATTCTGTTCTGGTCATAATAAGTTGTACTCCTATGGTAACTGCCAGTTGCGTGTTCTAGATGCAGATATAGGCTACTGATAATGTGAAATCATGATTGAGAAAGAAGGTGTGGTCTTGTGTTTGTTGACAAACAGGGCTGGATATTTGAGTTGCCTATGTTTTTCTTGACAAAAACGAAAATAATAATTTTCGCTAATGATTACGTCTTCATGCAATTATTTGGACAGTCATCATCACAGAAGCGTCTGAATGAAGTCTCTTCGCGAGTCCCAGATTCAGTGAGTTCCAAGAAGTTTGTCTGTAAACCTCACCTCATTTCCCCCCTCATCTGAAACACACGCACAGATACAAATACTCAAACATAGTGTGCACTCTGTGGTTTGTGGTCAGTTGATAAATGTGCTGCAGCCTACAGACGAACAGGCCTAACACACATATTTACATGAAAAACACATTCCTAAGAACACCCAGTTTTTGTTCTCATCTCTCCACTGAGGTTCTTAGAATCACCAAACCAGCCACAAACACACGCACACACCGTTTTCACATGCTGTACACACACTCTAATAAAGAACATTTGACCTCAGAAGCCCATTTTCCTGCTGTGCATATTCACTCTGAAATGCATATTTATACCACTAGGCCCAGTGTATGTATGTATTTATTTATAGGCTTCATTTTCATAAGCAGTATAACATTTTTATTTTTCTTATTTTTGATGATCTGAACATCTTTGTGAAAATACCACTTGTTATAAATGTCTACTCTCTTAAAAGTGTTTTTGCAGCAATGCCATAGAAGAATCATTTTTGTTTCCCCAAAGAACTGATAATATGATTTTTTCTTTCCCCTTAATGTGAGGAACATTTTAATTATCTGAAAAACCTTTTTCATCTGTAAAGTGCAATGAAAAGGTTGCATGGATGTTAAAAGTTCTTCATGGAACCATCAATGCCAATAAATAACCTTTGTTTTTAGGAGCTTTATGTGTGTTTTCATGAATACATGCATGTGTTTGGTTGTGGCGTGTGCATGTGCTCTGGTCAGCATCTCTTCTGTTCTCTAAATCCTCTTCTGTGTTTTGCTCTCTCCAGCACAATACCAGCATCAGTTGCCCTGCTGGGTCACACACACACACATGAAAAAAGGTTTTTACTCTGTGGATATGGTATGTGTTCAGAACAGAGAACACAGGAGAAGAGAACAGTGCGGTAAGTGAAGAGAAAAATCCATACTGATTGATATAGGATATATTAGTTATATATTATAACTGTCTGTGTGTGATACTGCTATAAGCAACAACCCTGCGCTGGTACACTGTAGACAAGAAAAAAAAAAAAGTTTGTTGCTTGCAAAAAAAAAAGTTTGTCAGAAAATATATAGCTAGTTTTTAATCTCCAGTGGAATAGTGAAGAAAGATGGAGAAAAATGTATTTCCCCCCACAGATAAGCCATTTACAGACACTGGCCGCTTGTTGTAAGTAAAAGACTGGCATTAGTTCTGTTTGCTATTGGTTTGACTGCATTTAATCTATTGTAGGTCACTGGCTCCGCCTTGAGGCGTTCTCTGTAACTGCAATCAAAAAGTAGTATGGCGTCCAAACTGTGAGTTTAAAGGGATAGTTCACCCAAAAATTAAAATTACCCCATAATTTACTCACCCTCAAGCCATCCTAGGTGTATATGACCTTCTTCTTTCAGACGAATCCAATCGGAGTTATATTAAAAAATGTCCTGGCTCTTCCAAGCTTTATAATGGCAGTGAGTAGGTGTTTTTTTTTCAATAGTCCAAAAGAAGTCCAATAAAGCGCATCCATCCATAATAAAAATTCCGGGGGGTGAATAAAGGCCCCCTGTAGCGAATTAATGCGTTATTTGTAGGAAAAATAACCGTATTTAAAACTTTATAAACCATCATCTCTAGCTTCCGCTAACTGTCCTACGCACGTTCATTCCGGCGGATGACGATGGACGTAGCATAAGGTCCGGTGAGAATATGCTAGTCTCGTGCGAACCGACATTTGTTTACAGGAGCAAAGGAAGCAAAGTTTCCTTTATACTTTAGCAAAGGAAACCCAGTCTCCTCTTGGCTTATATCGAAATCCTCCGACATTTTTCTTTACAAATCTTCGTTTTGTACTTCTAATTCATGACCAGTGTTTTGTTTTGCTCTCTCCGCTACGCTTCCGCATTCGACACTTCTCACTGGAGCTTATGCTATGCTAGGGCTGGGCGATTTTGCCAAAAATTTACATCTCGATTTTTCCAGACTGAGGTTCTTAGAATCACCAACCCAGCCACAAACACACGCACACACCGTTTTCACATGCTGTACACACACTCTAATAAAGAACATTTGACCTCAGAAGCCCATTTTCCTGCTGTGCATATTCACTCTGAAATGCATATTTATACCACTAGGCCCAGTGTATGTATGTATTTATTTATAGGCTTCATTTTCATAAGCAGTATAACATTTTTATTTTTCTTATTTTTGATGATCTGAACATCTTTGTGAAAATACCACTTGTTATAAATGTCTACTCTCTTAAAAGTGTTTTTGCAGCAATGCCATAGAAGAATCATTTTTGTTTCCCCAAAGAACTGATAATATGATTTTTTCTTTCCCCTTAATGTGAGGAACATTTTAATTATCTGAAAAACCTTTTTCATCTGTAAAGTGCAATGAAAAGGTTGCATGGATGTTAAAAGTTCTTCATGGAACCATCAATGCCAATAAATAACCTTTGTTTTTAGGAGCTTTATGTGTGTTTTCATGAATACATGCATGTGTTTGGTTGTGGCGTGTGCATGTGCTCTGGTCAGCATCTCTTCTGTTCTCTAAATCCTCTTCTGTGTTTTGCTCTCTCCAGCACAATACCAGCATCAGTTGCCCTGCTGGGTCACACACACACACATGAAAAAAGGTTTTTACTCTGTGGATATGGTATGTGTTCAGAACAGAGAACACAGGAGAAGAGAACAGTGCGGTAAGTGAAGAGAAAAATCCATACTGATTGATATAGGATATATTAGTTATATATTATAACTGTCTGTGTGTGATACTGCTATAAGCAACAACCCTGCGCTGGTACACTGTAGACAAGAAGAAAAAAAAAGGTTTGTTGCTTGCAAAAAAAAAGTTTGTCAGAAAATATATAGCTAGTTTTTAATCTCCAGTGGAATAGTGAAGAAAGATGGAGAAAAATTTATTTCCCCCCACAGATAATCCATTTACAGACACTGGCCGCTTGTTGTAAGTAAATGACCGGCATTAGTTCTGTTTGCTATTGGTTTGACTGCATTTAATCTATTGTAGGTCACTGGCTCCGCCTTGAGGCGTTCTCTGTAACTGCAATCAAAAAGTAGTATGGCGTCCAAACTGTGAGTTTAAAGGGATAGTTCACCCAAAAATTAAAATTACCCCATAATTTACTCACCCTCAAGCCATCCTAGGTGTATATGACTTTCTTCTTTCAGACGAATCCAATCGGAGTTATATTAAAAAATGTCCTGGCTCTTCCAAGCTTTATAATGGCAGTGAGTAGGTGTTTTTTTTTCAATAGTCCAAAAGAAGTCCAATAAAGCGCATCCATC